CCTATACCGGGCCGCCGGGGCAGAAGGCGGGGGCAACCCCGCTGCGAAGCCCCGGTGAGTAGGAGGGCCGCTGCGGTGAGCGCAGAAGGGTCTGGGCGCGAGCCCGCCTGGAGCCGCCGCAGGTGCAGATCTTGGTGGTAGTAGCAAATACTCCAGCGAGGCCCTGGAGGACTGATGTGGAGAAGGGTTCCGTGTGAACAGCCGTTGCACACGGGTCAGTCGATCCTAAGCCCTAGGGAAAACCCGCTAATGGATGTGGGATGTCGCGGCGAGAGCTTCGAGTACCCTGTCCATGGGGCGAAAGGGAATCCGGTTCCTATTCCGGAACCCGGTTGCGGAACCGCACTCACGATCCTCGTATTGACACGGTAACGTGAATGACCCCAGAGATGCCGTCTGGAGCCCCGGGAAGAGTTGTCTTTTCTGTTTGAGCGTTCGGGTTCCATGGAATCCTCTAGCAGGGAGATATGGAATGGAGCGCGAAGAGCACCGCAGTTGCTGCGGTGTCCGGGGAGTCCCGTCGGCCCTTGAAAATCTGGGTGAGGGTCACGTGGAGTCGCCGCACCGGTTCGTACCCATATCCGCAGCAGGTCTCCAAGGTCAAGAGCCTCTAGTCGATAGAATAATGTAGGTAAGGGAAGTCGGCAAATCGGATCCGTAACTTCGGGACAAGGGTTGGCTCTGAGGGTCGGGGCGTGTCGGGCTTGGTCGGGAAGTGGGTAGACAGCTAACGTGCCGGGCCTGGGCGAGGTGGGTCTGCTCCTTCGGGGGTAGGCCTGCCGAGTTCGGTCCCGTGCCTTGGCCGCCCACGGAACTTCCTTGCTGCGAGCCGGTAGGGGGCCGTGCCCTTCGCGGGGTGCGTAACTTGCCTGCCGGTCTCTTCGGCCGCCATTCAACGACCAGCTCAGAACTGGCACGGACCGGGGGAATCCGACTGTCTAATTAAAACAAAGCATTGCGATGGCCCCTGCGGGTGTTGACGCAATGTGATTTCTGCCCAGTGCCTTGAATGTCAACGTGAAGAAATTCAAGCAAGCGCAGGTAAACGGCGGGAGTAACTATGACTCTCTTACGCCCTAGGGAAAACCCGCTAGTGGATGTGGGATGTCGCGGCGAGAGCCTCGAGTACCCTGTCCGCGGGGCGTTAAAGTTCGGACTTCTAGGTAGCTGCCAAATGCTTCGTCATCAATTTAGTGACGCACAATCATTGTCCTGGGGCAATAATGAGTTGCCAGTCTCGCATTCCCCTTGTGGGTGTGCTTCTTTTCTTTTATGCCTTTTGCGAAAAGAACTGGGCCCTATAAGTTTTACCCGAACTTTGGGGTGCAGTAGGCGCCAAAAGGAAATGGTAGGATGAGGTGACCTTCGCGAGGTCCTTACCGTTAAACCTGAGAGGATTGCGGGGTAACGTAGCCTCTCGGGGAACAGACTATCTCATCTCACCTGAAGTCAGGCTTAATACGGCTTCTTGAACGAGCCATGGGTATCTCTAAGCCGGGTCCCGTGGTCATGGTCCTAGGTAACGGCCTCGGCCCCCTAGGAGCGTCAGGTCACAATAGACGTGCGTACCGATGGATAACCTGTGGCCGGTCGGATCCATCAATCGATTTAATCCAGCCTGAACGCCTCTAAGGCAGGGTTGAATCACCTCTCCTTTGCTGCCCTCTTAGGGTTAGTAAAGTGCGTCGGGGAAGCTTGGTACCTGTCGCCCACCTGCCCTGTTCTAGGATGGTGCCCCACCCAAAATGGCGACGTTAACCCCTGTCGACTGCCCTGGTCGAAAATACAGGTTCGGCCCTTGTGCCTAGGGGATGCATAAATATGAAGATGTTCAATATTATGCCTCGGACGCTGAACGCGCAGCGAAACCAACGCGCCCCCCTGGGGGCTGGGCCCGAGCGAGTCCAGCCTCCTGAGCCCCTTCGGGAGCTCGAATTTGAACGCACGCCCACGAAGGCTTCGGTGGGGGGTACCATTCCCCCCATGAGACCTTCAAAGGCTACACCCGCCCACGAATCGGAGGTTTCCTCTGGTAAGTGGGGGGAGCCGGTTACGCCGGATCCAATGCTCAACCTGCGGAGGTTACCTGGGGAACGAAGGGTCTGGAGGAAAGGGGCACCTGTGCCCTCTTCTGCTCAGCCCCTGAACTCGCATACGGTTGCGGCACCTTTTGAACGAGAGGCAGCCGGGGAGTCGGCGGGAGGTTTTCCTCCTCTTATGACACCTCAATTGTCTCACCCCTTGGTGTTGCGGCCCGTGCTTGCTCGAAAGAATGCAACTACCAACGGACCGAGGACTCCCCCCGGAGTATTGGTAGGGTCGGTTTCACCGACAGACGCGTCAGGTCAGTTGCCGAGGGTACTAGCTGCCCGAGCGACCCCTGACAAGCTGAAGTGCCGAGCGGTGGTACTGGTTGAACGACTGAACCTGGAGGCGCCGGTGTTGGGTCCCATTCCCTCCATGTCGCCTTCAGGGGAAGAACCTGCTCGTGGTATGGAGCCTCGCTCCGTACCGCTGGTAGAGCGGAGGAGAAGGTTGACTAGGGCTTCGGCCCGCTCACCTGCTCTTTCGACGGTACCTCGTCTCGCAGCTACTCTTGCCGTTGAACGTTTTGATGATGAAGAGCCGGTGGGGGGGTCAGTTCCCCCCATGGCTCCTCTCTCATCATTACCCGCTCGGGGAGAAGGAGACGCGGATCAGACTGCAAAGTCGAAGTCTTGTGGCTCTCAATCTTCTGGGTCGGAGTCAGGGTTGCTTCCGTTTGGAATGACTCTGATGGCAAGACGCGTCAACTTGCCTCACCCCTTCACTTCAGGGTTATGCCCTTTATGTGTGGGGGGACAGGTTAAGACTCTTATCAGTATTGAGGATACGTCGGATCACCTGGGTCGGATGCACGAAGGGTGGCGCTTGGGGTACGCGTGCCCGTGGTGTGATGGGAATTTTCTCAGCCTCGCCGCGGTCAAATTACACAAGCGCCGCTGCTATGCACCCGCTAGCCCTGACCCGTTAAAATGCGGCTATTGTCCTCGAGCCTTCTTGACAAAAAGTGCACGCTCAAACCACGTTGCACGAGCGCACCCTGAGGAAAGGAACGCCGAACTCTGTGCCGGAGGCACAAAGGGATTAGAACCCCTTTGGACGCCGAAGGAGATGGAGCGTCTTCTTTCTTTGGAGTTGCGACTCATAGGCATGCCGAACATCAACAAAATGTTAGCGGCAGGGCTCGGTTCTAAGACGAGCCAGCAGGTCAAGAGTAAGAGAGCTGAGGGCAAGTATCGCATGGACCGGGACAGGTGGCTGAAAGCCAGGGAAAATCCGCTGCGTGAAGCACGGACCTCCGACATCTCATCATCGGGTAGGCCAGGGGACGACGTCGCGCACCCAACGGTGGTGGTCGTGCCTCACGAACCGGAAGATGTGCGTCCGGCTGGTGACAACTCCCCAGAGGGAAGCCAGCTGGATTCGAGATCGGAAGGGAAGCCGATGGTGTCCCCTCCGAGGGACTGGATCGATTTATTTGATTCAGAGATTGATAACTGGCCGAGGCCGGAGAGTTTTACTGCTAAACAATCCGAGATCCTCGAGAAAATTAAGATCACCAAGGATGAGCGATCGCTCGATGAAGTACACGATGAGTTGGTGTCTTGTCTAAACTTGGAAGAGGGTGTTACTGAGAAACGCCCGGCACCCAAGCCACGTTTGCCAAAGAAAGCGGCTAAAGCAGGACGGCCGCGCCCTTCGGGTTCAAGGGCTAAAACCAATGTCGGAAGAAAGAGGTATAACTATGCCCGGCAGCAGAGGTTGTTTAAAGACAATCCGGGGCTTTTTGCCCGCTGCGTGCGTCTGGGTGTTGACCCCAGTAAGCCTAACGGTGAGAGCCTCGCTCGCTCGGACATTGATAAGCTTTACTTGTCTCTCTGGGGGGTTGCGTCAACTCCGTTGACTCCCAATCCACTGGAATTAGGGCCGAGTGAGGAAGATCTTGATCCTTGTGACTTTTTGCGGCCCTTCCAGGTCGGCGAAGTGCTCAAACGCGCAAAAGGGTTTAAGTTATGTACGGCACGTGGGTTGGATGGCGTAGGGCCAGCTCTATTGAGAGAGCCGTGCTGGGCTAACCTGGTGACACTTTTCTTCAACGCTTGTCTCCGAAACTGCCTTTTACCGGGTGGCTGGAGTGAGAATCGTACGACTCTCATTCCTAAAGAGGGACGAGACCCAGCTGTTGTGGAAAACAATCGGCCGATCACAATCAGCTCGATTCTAGCGAGGCTGTTTTGGGGAGTATTCGTAGATCGCCTAACCAAGGTCGTTAAGTTGACTCCCCGTCAGAAGGGATTCGTCCCGGAGGCGGGATGTTTCAACAATGTGCGACTGTTTACGGACATGGTGAAACGAATGCATGACCATACACCAGGGGGAGTCGTGGTTCAGCTCGATGTTAAAAAGGCGTTCGATACGGCGCCGCATTGGGCCCTCGGCACTGCCCTGAGAAGGAAAGGGATCCCGAGTTTCGTTGAGCAGCTGGTCATGAGCTCCTATATTGGAGCTTCCACCACTTTTCTTCATCCGCAAGGAAACCTACGGGTACGCTTGCGGAGGGGAGTGAAGCAGGGCGACCCGCTCTCTCCCTTGCTGTTCAACTTGCTTATGGAACCCCTACTTCTTAAGCTAGAATCGATGGAAGGGTTCGCTGGTGAATGGGGGTCTGTGAGCGTCTTAGCTTTTGCGGATGATCTCATTCTCCTGTCTGCTACTCCTGCACAAGCGCAAGCTATGTTGGAGGTCTCGCACCGGTACCTATCTGACTTCAATTCGTTTTATTTCTCCACAACAAGTCAAAGCATCTGAGTCAAAAATTTACATTACGGAGAAATAGGCTTACAGTACTAGTGAACAACTCACTGAAACTCATACATCATTGAACTGAGACAAACAAGAAATTTGCCTCCGCCCTCAATACTCGCCGTACTGCAGCCGTAAGCAAAATAAAAAAAAAATTAATCTGACATCACAAAACATTTACACAATTTGGGGAAATCGGGGGCCGGACAAGATTTCAATTCGGAAGGGAGGGAATTCCACTGTTGGGCGAGTCGGAAGGAGAACGATTGCAGGCCGAGGTCGGTGCGCGCTTTTGGGGGTATGAGTCGGTGCTCGCCGTCTGTGTTTCGCATCACTCGCCCCACTGTGATTCGCGCCATCGCGTTCATGTTTGTCTCACCATCACGACACTTCCGAAAAAAAGTCAAGTCGTTGTATTTGAGCTGCTGTTGCACTGAGAGCAGCTCTTTTTTGGCCGCCTCAGAGATGTGCCGCCCATGCACAAATCTGAGGGCACGATTTTGCACCCGTTCGAACTTTTTCATATTCACCTGGGTCGAGGGATGCCAAGCTGGGGTGCCGTAGAACATCAAGGGTTTTACCATCGTTAGGTACGCGAGTCGCTTAACGCGCGGAGTGCAGCCTTGCAGGTTGCGGGCCGCGAAAGAGAGAACTTTAGCCGCCTTGCCACGCGCGATTTCGGTGTGCCTATTCCACTTGAGGTCGCTGCTCACGTGCACGCCGAGGATGCGCTCGATGTTGCTGTACTCGAGGATGGCGCCGCCAATGGTGTACGCGGTGCGCAAGGGTGTTCTCGCACGCGTCAGGTCGAGGACGTGGCATTTTGCGGCGTTCAGCTCCATTCCATTTGCCGCGCACCACGCGAAAATCGCGTCCAGGTCGTCCTGCAGCTGCTCGACGTCGCTGATGTTTTTCACATGTCGCCAAAGGGTCACATCGTCCGCGTACTGAGCCAGCTCTGATTTTATTGCTGGAGGCAGATCCGCGACGAATATGTTGAAAAGCAGCGGCCCCAACACACTGCCCTGAATCACGCCGGAGAGCACATCTCTTGGCTCAGATTTCGCGCCACCGTAGACAACAAATTGCGTTCGCCCTTTCAGAAAGCACTCCAGCCATTTAATCAGTTTGCCATTTACGCCATAATAAGACAGTTTTGACAGGAGGCGGTCGTGCGGGACGCGGTCAAACGCTTTTTTCCAATCCAGGGTAATCACGTGAACGTGCGCCCCGCAGTTTTGGTCCAGAGTTGCCGCCCAACTGTCGATTGTTCTGCACAGAAGTGTGGTGCATGACCTTTTCTGTCTGAACCCATGCTGGCAATCGGGAATTAATTTATTCTCCTCAAAGTACTGCTCGACTCTGTCCCGAACGAGTTTTTCCAGGGCTTTTCCAACTAGGGAAGTCATACTAATTGGCCTATAATTCTCTAGCAGCGCTTTATTTCCACTCTTAGGTATGGGTGCGACGGCGGCTTTTTTCCAGCCTGCTGGTAGCTCTCCTTGCTGCAGCGAGCTGTTGAAAAGGCGCGCGAGGCTCGGCGCGAGAGCGGCCGCACACTTGGAGAGCACGACACCCTGCACACCGTCAGGGCCAGGGGTGGCGTTGCCCTTCACCTGCTTGAGTTTTATGCACACACTAACACTGTTCACCGACATGTCACAAAGAGAGGGGGGCTGGGGGGCAAGGGGTCGACGGCGCATGAAGGGAAAGTAATTTGTGGCAGAGTTGAAATTTCGCGCAAACACTTCACTGAAGGCGGCGGCCACTTGCTCAGGCTCGGAGATATTTTTCCCGTTGACTTCAAAAACGCCGGCTGATGGTGAAATCTTAGTTTTTGATTTGACAAAGTCCCAGAAAAATTTACTGCCACCGGGGCCGCGGCCCAAGTCCCACATCCACTTGTCACGCGAGTTGCGGAGGGCCTTTTGCACCTGCTTTCTAGCCACCAGATATTCTTCTCGTGCACCTCGCGTTTTGTTCTTTTGCCAGCGAGCGAAAATTTTATCCCTTTTACCGATTTGCGAGCGAAGTTCTTTAGTCATCCAGGGCGCGCAGGTTTGCTTACGAGGACGAAGACGCTTTTTTGGCACAATTTCTGCAAGTATTTGCCAGTATTTTTGCAGCCAAATTTCCCAGCATCGCTCAATTGGGGCACCCACAAATGAAATATTTTCAAATGTGTCGCAAAAACGCTGACTTAAGGCAGGCCAATCAACATTCTTGAAATCAAAAATTTCGCGCACTCTGGAGGGGACTTTTTGCTGCACCAAAAATTCAAGCTGAAGAGCATCGTGATCTGAAGTGCCGGGCACCACAATGGCACTTGAAATTAGCGCTGGAGTGTCGCAAAGCGCCAAATCAAGGATTTTGGAAGTCGTGGCTGTCGTGCGGGTTGCCGTTTTTATCAGCTGAGTGAGAGCGAGCTCGGAAAAGGCGCCGAGAAAATCAGTTGCCGGTGCATTGCCGGCGCGAGGTGGATCGTCTTGCCAGTCAACTTCTAGGTTAAAGTCCCCTGTCAGGATGCACGCGTCAAAAAGGTGCTTTACCTCGGCAACCTTGTCAAGGGAGGCAATTAGGCGGTCATTATACGCGGCAGAACCATCTGGTTTTCTGTAGGCAGAGCCGAGCAGAATTTTCAATTCGCCCATCTTGACTTCAATCCAGACTATTTCAGCACCAACCTCTAGGTGTTTATGGCGGCACGGATTCAGGTGGTGGCGGGCGGCAATCAGGGTACCTCCAGAGGCTCGTTTGCAGTTGGTGCGGTCTTTACGGAAGACAATAAAATCAGATGGTATTATCTCATTGTCCCCATGGTCAGCCGAGAGCCACGTCTCTGTCACGCAAATAATATCCGCTTCAGAATTTTCAATAGCTGCCAAAGTGTCTGCGCGCCGCTTTCTATTATTCAACGATCTCGCATTAAACGCAAAGAGCCGCGGCTGGGAGCGAAATCTGTTTCTCGTCGCGCTATTTTGCGGGCAAACTTCCTCAGGTTCATCAGGGCGGAGGTCAAGCAGCGAGTCAGAAAAATTGGGCAATGAGCAGCTCCAGCAAATATAGCCTCCCGCCTTGAATTTCGTTCTTTCTTTTGGCGTAAATCGTAAGCAGGCCGAGTGATAGATGGAGTGGCAATTGTCGCATGTGATTTTTATTTGATTGCTTCGGCCGTGCCTATCGCAAAGAATGCAAACTGCAGCTGCACTAGGTGGGCCGGGGTTCAAGGCCACATTGCCGCTCAAAGCTATGCACATCAAAACATGCCAGAACGCATTTCTGACAGGTTTTCTGCGTGACGTCAGCGGCGTGCAAATTTTTACAAACAAAATTGTCCGATTAATGTCTCGGCCACCTACTTGACAGTTGCCGATGGCCGTCCAGCAGGACACGCTGCTCTGCTCGATGACGTTGAGTGTAGTGAAGCGGGCGGTGAAAGGGCTAGTTGGTGGCCGCAAGTCATCTGGATGTGCACTCGGCAGGCGCAGCAAGGCAGCAGCGACGATGGCAAGTAGAACTCCGCTTCCACTGGTCATTTTTAGCTCATTATGGACCAATCAGGAAGTCCAGGGATGAACCACCCCGAGAAAGGTTTGGAGGGGCAGTTCACGAAGCCCCTGGGCTGTCCTGGTATCTGTGAAAGGGTGTACAAACGACCGAAACGGATTAAAATCCGGGAGCGGCAACAAAGCGTGTGCGGTTTCTTACCAGGTCATAGCTCGATCCCAACTTGGGGATGTCGCTGGCGCCGGACAAAAGTTTGGCCTGGTGGATTCGCCCAACAAAGAAGAGGAGCCGAGCGAGATTATGCGATCCCAGTCTGACAGTCGGAGTTGATCGCATCCCGACCGGGCAGGTTACCACGCCTTCCCGTTATCTGGGTGCGTGGATTCTCTGGACAGGAAAAGTGGATGTGCAAACTACTTTCAGGAACATTGAGTTGTGTCTTGAGAGAGTTGAACGGCTTCATTTGAAGCCGGCGCAGAAGCTGATCTTGCTGTCAAGACACCTTATTCCTCACTTCCAGCACCAGCTGGTGATGGCGCTTCCGCCCATCTCCACGTTGGTGAGGATGGACGACAGGATTCGTCGGGTGGTACGGGGAGTTTTACACCTCCCCGCGGCTGCGGCCAGCGAAATTCTGTACGTTCCACCCAAGAACGGAGGTCTAGGGTTTCCACGATTGAGTCGTCTCATTCCTTGTGTCGGTATCAAACTTGGCGAGAAGATGCGAGGCGTCGATGACCCCCTCATCCAGAGCACGTATGGCTCTAGTACGGGAACTTTGTTGCTTTCTTCTTACGAGAGAGCTCTTGGTCTCCCGCCGCAAGCTTCCGCTAAACTCGTTCACGAGAAGCAGAACGCTCTATTACAGCGAGACTTGGATCGTTGGTCAGCGCTAGTCACGCAGGGTGCCTGTGTCCGGGTTTTCGATGGGGAGGAATTCGGTAACCGTATTTTGCGGGAGCCGGAACTTCTCCGTCCTTCCCGGTTTATCACAGCACTCCGGATGCGGACAAACACACTGGCTAATAATACAAATCTTGTGCGGCTTGGGATGATGGGCAGGGCCGACTGCCGGTACTGTAGGGACAACCGCGAGACACTTGGCCACGTCGTGGGCTCCTGTCAGGCGACTAAGTCTGACAGAATCCTTCGGCATAATGAGATTCGGGATAGAGTGGCTAATGCCCTCACGCAATTGGAACAGCCAGTTGTGGTAGAGCCTGAACGCCGCCATCTGCTTGCAGCGGGGGCTCCCGGTGGGCAGTGGCTTCAGCCAGACTTAACGGTCCGTATGGGTTCGACGGCCTATCTGGTAGATGTCACTGTCAGAATGGAGAAACCGTTGTTTGCGGAACAGGCGGCCCAGGAAAAGGTGTCTAAGTACACCCCTCTCCTGCAACAACTGCAAAGAGAAACAGGGGCAACGCATGTTGCTGTCCTTCCGGTCGTCGTCGGTGTGCGGGGCGCGATCCCCAAGACAACAGTGGACTCCTTGCGAAAGTTGGGAGTAATGTCCAAGAAGCTGCTGGGGGCCCTCTCAATGGGGACTCTCAGCTGGTCAATGGAAATTTACCATAAGTTTGTTGACGGATCGTATCCTCGCCTTCGGCGACGACGCACATGATCTGCATCAGGCCTGAACGCCTCT